TGAGAAAAGAGCCACATGATTTTAAATTGAAATCTCACTTCTGTACTATAACTTGGAAAATAAGTTTTACTTCAATTGCATTGTTTTCTAGTTGTAAATGTTAATAGGATAAAAATACCATATTAAATAGAAATATCACTTCTATATATAATAGTAACTTGGAAGCGAAGGTTTTAGCTGAATCGCACTCTTTGAATTGTGACGGTTATTATATACTATCCTATTTTATAATGTAGGCATGCGGGAAGACATTTGGTGAAGGACAATGTATTTTAGTATTAACTTTATTGATTTTCTAGTATTCAAATGCCCTTCATCTTCCCCATTGTTTCTTTTTTATGCACAAACGAAGTTCAAGTTCTATAAAACAGTAGTGGATATGACTCACTCCATTTCAATAATGATGTCCAAGTTTATCACTAGCATCAATAATATGATGTCAAATTATGTCAACACTATTCTATAAGTTTCTTAGTATGTTAATAATTAATGTAGTGAATGGATATATATATAGATGTTGATGATAAAGATAATTAACCCCATTTGTTGGACTCTTCTATTTTTTGGTTCATATATCACCCATATTTTACCTTAATTTCGTGACTATGTGTGTGAGAGAAGAGAACTAACCTCATGAATAAAGTGCATCATGAAATGTTGTGTCAAACTTTTTGTGATATATATATACATATATATATGCATATAATATAGTGGTCGTGCTGGAGTTTGAAAGCATGCGAATGCTGGCATCACACATGACTTGATGCTTGCATAAGCAGGCACCAATGTATGTAATAAAAGCAGAACAAAGAAAATAAAAAGAAAAGGAAAAAAAGAAGATAGCATTTTGAAACAAGACAAGTAGCTACCAAATACAGATCAAAGTAGACAAAAGCTATAAAGCCTAATATGATTATTGCCCAATATAATGCTCCTCAATTGCAACCTACCCTTAACACTGCTTTATGACTGAAACAAACCCATTTCCTCCTATATCTCAGTTTTTATTTTATATTTTTTCTTCTTTTTGGCAGGGTTTCAAATCATGACATGCAAGGGCAATGTTATGGTTATGGTTATGGTTAGCTCATTCTAACATGGACATATTAACTTATTTATTAGTGACTAAGAATGGAGACTATGATGGCAATTATCCACGTGTTCTTGTAGAGAATAAAAAGTACAAAAATTTCAAGTGACTAAGGTAATGAATGGGATCTTTGAAAGCATAACGTCATAGTACATATTGTTTGGCCATGAATTTGAGATAGTGCCCCACTTGGAAGAGCTGCTATAGAAATGTACCTATACCAACTTCACTGATTACAATGCCAGGCTACCACTGCTATAATGGATTTAACTATCACCAAGTAATAATAACAATAATATATAATATCATCTGAATAAACAAATACATATATATGAGCTTTATTAATTATCCATTTGGATAATGCAGCTATAGCTAAATCACTTCCATCATCTAATTTGGTAAGCTAATTTCATCAAGATCATCTAATGACAAGAATACTTCATCCAAACAAGAAAGTTCTGTTCCATCATCATCTTCATCTTCATCTTCATTGAGCTCATAAACTCTACAAATCACCCATTTACTGTAATCCTGATGAACCAAACAAAAAGTACAATTTTTTAGACATTTATCTAATAATTATCCACATTACTATTATAATATTTTTTGTGTGTTGAAAGTTTGTGTATAGAAATTAGATGGTACTAACTGTTTTTTGATGTGATTTTGTTTTGGATGATCTGGTGCTAGAGGAAGCAGAATCTAATAGACTATACTCTTGCATTATCCAATTGGTTTTGATTCCATCAGCAGTGGATTCTCCAACATGGAAAACAAAATATTTCTTGATGCCAACCCTCTTGTTACTTGAACTTGTAACCACTGCTTCTTCTATTCCTGTTTCCTTCCAATACCCATTCTCAGTTACCCTATTTTGTGTCCTTCTGCTGTAGTAGTACCATTGGTTTCCCTCTCCCAAAGCTGTACCTGTCCATATCCACCAGAACCCACAATTAACAATTATGAGACAGAATTTGTCTGAGACCATTGATATATGACCATTCAATAAAGAATAGAAAATAATGATTGTGATATATATACCATCAAGTTCCCATGGATCATATTGAGAGAGGTGAAGATCAGGGATAACATGAGGTTGGCAAGGTAGAAGTGATGCCTTTCTATGAAGAAAATGGACAACAAGTTCTTCATCTGTTGGATAAAATCTAAACCCGGGTGGAAGGTTGGCATTATTATCTCCCATGAAAGCAAACAAAGAGAATTAATGTATGTTGTTGTTGGTCAAGGTAAGATTGGAAGGAATGGTAATATTTATAGTGCAGAGAAGGTAAGAATAGTAGATATATATATATATATATATCATATATGTTATGTGACGTGAAAGAGAAGGTAGTGCTTATTATTATCACGTAAAAAACTTATACAACTAATCATAAAATATATATAAAGATCAAATATATGATACATAGATAGATAGTAACTAGATCAGATGGAGTGAGGTTGGTGGGAGAGAGTGTGGTACTACTCTCTGATTCTTTTGCACTTTCATTTATTCATTTATCATCAATATATATACAAACTTTTTATCCTTAAAATTAAGAGTAAAAACATCACTCTTTCAAGTCACAAATATATACATAGTTTAACCCTTTAAGCAAGGTATATGATGATCAAGTCACAAATATACACATGCTTTCAGTTTTTAGAAGCCTCACATTTATATTAGACTAGCTATCTCATTTCAGGTTAAACTTTTATTTTGAAAGGTCATTTCAGGTTAATTGAAACCAAGGAATTTACAGTACTGATCTGGTTTATTCTTTTACAAACCTTCATCATTATTTCATGTCTTCATTTAACATATTATGTATAAATAGTTACTAAGACACCCCATCCACCCCATTTTACAATTAAATCTGAATTCATCAAATGTATTGAATTACCTCTCTATTATTTAGAATGAGCCTTCTCAACATAACTCACAGAAAATTATGTGAAGAAAAAGTAAGTTTTGATGGATGGTATGGGTCATCATGACACTTGGTACTGATATGATCTACCTGCTGTTGTCGACGTGTCATATACATTAGTATGGGTTTGGTCCTAGACCAAAAACCAATTGAAGTAGGGGTGACCCACCTTCTTGGAGTGTATCTATACATGCTCCATAATTATTACCAATTATCATAATTTTAAATATGAATAACTTTTTGTTTTGCTCTTTATCAACCCATATGCTTTAGTAATGAATGGGTTAGTAGAAGTAGCACATACATCCCAAACCAATCAATTATTTCTTTGGAAGGGGAAGTTTAACTCATTTGCTTGGGGCCCTTGCATTGTTTATTAATTAATCAATTATTAAATCTTGCACAAGAAATAACCAATCACATCCTACACTAACAATTAATGAACTACTTTGCTTACAACTTTTCCATCCTTAATAACATTTTCTAACACTTTTGATATTGATTTTCAATCTTATGTTATTATTATATATTAACTACACAATTAGTTGTTGATTCAAATCCTTTTACATATCTGGTTTCAAATTCTTGGTATATATCATAACATGATACCTTTAATTTGATTCCCAAGGCTTGATACTAACTAAGTGATCAAACAGCACTTCTACCAATATTTTAAGTACAGTTCATGATACCAAAAAATATGTAGAAGAATTGGAATCAATATTCAATATCCTCCTCTAACATTTGTATAAGATATATATGCCCCATTTCTGGGCTCTAGTGGATCGAGAATAGAGAAACAAATTTCCACTTAAAAGACAAATTTCATCCATGCAAGGAGCAACATTCCTAAATTCATGTTCCTATTTCTTCATCCTCATTACCTACTCATCTTATTGGTTATCAGTGCTTGTTCCACAAACAAATTGCACATGCACATGTTAGTAGTTGTACTAGTGTTTTATTTTTGTCTTTTTTGAATATTTTTTCTATCTAAACGGATGAAGGAAAGAGTAATACTAGTGAAACAACTTAGAGATTTCAATTCTACTTCTGTGCCCATTTACCTGTGGTAATTAAGTGAAAGATATTTTCTAATCAATGAAATGGATACAAAGTTGTGTGGTTGTTATATATTTAAGAGGAAGCTAAGTAAATACATATAGAGTGCATCAGTGCATCTTCCATGATGGATGGGTTTATTATGAGAAAAAGACTACAAGATAAAAACAAGGACAGAGATTGGACAGCATATACCATTCTTCAGCCCCTTCTGTCTTTTATTGCTAGACTCAGAAAAACCTAAGATGACCCTTCTCATATAAATATGTCCTACCACCATTCACATATTGGTATTGGTATATTTCAATGTCAATACCAATATGCTAAAGTAATTACTGACTTTAAAGATGATTTTCACACATCTAATCAATCCCAATTATACTTAACCCTTCTTATGTTTCCTTTTATTTGATATAATATGAAAGAGCATTCATTATACTGGTCTCTAAATGGAATGACTAAGCAAGTTTTAGCTAGCTGACTATGATGTTATCATGATTGAGTGGTGGGTCTCTGAGTTAGGCAAGCTTTAATCTCATATATTTCTATCCCATTATCTTTTCTTTTTGTTGGCCTTGGTCTACATCAAAGGTTAGGGGAAAAGATAAAATAGAATGAACTATGTCTAGCTACCAATGATTTTACTGTGGCTATATACTACTTGTTGTTACACTAAGTAGTTGTGGAGTACACTACTGCACTATTCATATATTTTTATAGTCCTTGATTCTCCCCAGGGGCATTTTTTTGGGAAGCACACAGTAAAAGATTATTGATTATCAAACCTTCCTCTATGAATAGCTCATTTGCTTCCTATGCTATGCTAACAACATTATAATTGCATAGCTATGGAGCCACAAAACATATTTGCGTAGCTACAAAACATAATCAAAATGGAAATATGTATCTACCTTTTTTTAATCATTCATTGATCAATCTGTGGAAGAAAGCACTACAATGTCCTGTTAATAAAACGTGCTAATAGTATGCAAGAACAAAAAAAAGAATTATTAGCATAAAAGAGAAGATAGGGAAGATTGTGCACATCTTATATATCACTATCAGAGATGATAGTGTTTGATTGAAAGCGAGTGAAGGTGTTAGTAATTTGATTTAACTCCATTATAGTTACGTCAATGCTCTATCACATATCTCTCAACTGCATCATGCTGCTTAAATTTCGGCTGTGAAAGCCTACCCACTTGACAATTAACATGCTTTAACTGAAAAATATACATACCATGCATAGTCACAGATATATATGTGTGTATATATACACCATGCTTTAACTGAAAAATATATATAGCATGTGTAGTCACAGAAAAACCCTATTTACCTCCACAATTTGCACCATTAATATATGAAGACTGTGGATCTGCTATAAGTCCATCCAATAGCAGGAAATAAAAGGCTTGTTATCCACATATAATGAATGGAAGAAAAGAAATTGAAATAATGCATATTTTTATCTAAACACTACTTGGTAAGTGCTAATAACTGGATAGAGTTGGAAGTTCCATATCACTTTAATTACTTTCCATTATATTATTTATATTCTTTTGGGCTTTTATAGTTTCCATTGACTACAAGGTCAAGAAATTATCATAGCTGATAACAACATTTCATTAAAATTATTTTTAAAAAAATCAAAGAGATATTTATCAATTATTTTTGGAAAATTGAATATATTAATTGATTTAAATATGTATAAATTTATAATAGTCTAGGCTATCTTAGCCAATTGAAATCAAAAGCGTTTGTAGTCCAACGGTTAGGATAATTGCCTTCCAAGCAATAGACCCGGGTTCGACTCCCGGCAAACGCATCATACTTTTTTCATTTTTAGTTTTGTTCATTGCCGTCGTTTTATTCAATTTAAATGTGAACGACTCTGCGTTTTGGTACACAAGAATAAAGGAATTAGGGTTTGGTCTCAATTGAAATCAAATAAAGGTGCGTCCTTTACACTCACATATCTCATTCACACGCTCCAAGCAATTGTAAGTGTTTTATTATGGTATGTGTCATTACAGAGGTGCTACAAAGTTGAAATGGTAATTGGGTTTTGTACTAATACCAATAGCTAAGACCCTCAACATTCAAAACTGTGTCTCTTTCACCACAACCATTAATCTCATATGTTTCACTTTTTTACCTTTCTCATGTGATACTTTTATTTGGAATCATGCAATTTTGTTTATTTCTGCCTTTCTTATTTGATGCACAGCATAGCTATTATTATTATTAATGGTCAAAGTAAAACAAAAAAGACTCATAATGTGATTCTCAAAATTAATATTCACATTATAACTATCTTAAACCAAAGACGAGTTTTTGTTAAAGATAGTTCTTGAGAATTATTTGAATCATGGATATTCATAGGGCTGATAAGCTGTATAACAACATTATCAAATTATAATGAGAGCTTTAGTAGGTAACAAAGAAATATATTTTCATTTCAAATTTGTTATTTAAGGAGTACAATATTACCAATCAGATAATTTTTTTGCAGTTACCTCAAACTTTTTCTGATAACTAGAATATTTCTTTTAGGGAAACCAATTATGGAAAAAAAATAATAATAAGTGCAAAGGATTTGAAGACTTGTTTCAAATCCTCACACTCAAGGCATGCTTCAAGTTTCCAACATGAAGCAGATGCTGTCCCAAGGGAACTTTCCTGTTGCCAAGTTCATCAACCACACTCAAATCCTTGCAAACATCTACCTTGAATCTAACCTGTGCTTTTGATTTTCTTGCTATGTGCACTTTCTCAAAACCCACCAGTTGTTTTTGAGGTGCATTGTGCACATTAGGAGGACTAAAGAACAATAACACTGTGTGCTGACTGTTCATTTCCCCCATGTTCTTGACCGCAAGATGAATATCAAATGCCAAGTTTTGACAATGCTCCTCGGCAATTTCAAGTGATTTGCATTGCGAGGACTGGCACACATGATCTTCTGCTAGAGGGATAGACACCAACTGAGGCGCTTTAACTATTTCGTGCCTGATACTAGAGAAGCTCATTCCATATCCAAATGGGTAAACAGGTTCCCCTGTATAAAATCTGTATGATCTACCAGGGTAACCTGTAGCAGGATCTGCCCTCATGTTCATGTTGGTCATTGGTACACTGTCTAAATATGATTGTGGATACCATGTAATGGGTAGCCTTCCACCTGCATCACAAACTCATCCATTATTGTCAAAGTTGTGCAATTATTGAATGATATCTTTTGAGTAAACCTCGAATTTTGTTCTCTAGGGATAATACTGTCACCAGTTAGGTCCTTCAATTTTTGTCACCAAATCCTTATAAGATTTGAATTTTCACCATGTTGGTCCTTCTAAGGACTTAAACCATCAATAAACTATCACAACTTGACACTGTTTTACATCTTCAATGGGCTTAATTAGTTACACTTGTTTTTGGAGGATTAAATTGATGGATTACTTGAATTTTATTGATATATAAGGGAGATTGTGAATGACTTACTTGGATTGTGAGATCCAAAAATCACATCCGCTATGGCACCTCCACCAGCTTCACCGGGGTAGCCAACCCAGAGGATGCTTGTGATTTTATCATTAGTTTTAGCAAAGGACACATCCATGCCTCCACCAGACATTATGACAAGAATCACAGGTCCCTTCGCTGCATTTGCAACTTCAGTCACTAGAAGTTGTTGTTGTCCTGGAAGAAGAATGTTATCTCTATCACGACTTTCCGCCTCTATTTCTAGACTCGCACCAACTATAATTACAGTTGCGTCTGCAGACGCTGCAATATTTGTGGCATCATCTATCCGGGCATTGGCACATTGCACATCAGGACAGCCAGGAGAATAGTTTGTTGGAACTATGGCTGTTAAACCTTCCAAGGGTGTTAAATATTTGCAAGGGATGCCTGCAAAATTTTAGAGAACTTGTCAAATCCAATTTAAGGAGAGGGTAGGGAAAATAACTCTTCAATTATAACAACAAACCATTTGATAAATTTTGCCATCATCTACTAAGTTCAGTGCTTCTACAGAGAAATAATTAATAGAGTTACCATATTTGGCCTAGTTCCCAACTTTATATCCATATAGCCAAGTCATATACATATACAAACTATAAGCTTTGGAAATATTGATACCTGCATAATTCCCAATCATGACGGATGTTGCATTAGCATTTGGCCCTATTACAGCCAATAAGTTAAGTGTTTGTTTATCAAGAGGCAGTGATCCTTCATTGTTTTTAAGCAAGACAATCCCTTGCCTTGCAACTTCACGAGCAAGTTCCTGATTATCTGAAGTGCAGACATCTGTTGGACCAAGGTTTCCATAAGGTTGCTTGGCTGGATCGCCATCAAAGAAACCAAGACGCATCAGAGTGGCGAAATTGTTGGAGATTGCAATATCAATGTATGTTTCATCCAAAAGCCCGTTGTCTATAGCCCCTTGTGTATATTGGCCAAGATAACTTCCACAGTCCAAGTCCAACCCTGTTAAATCAAAGTTACATATATCAAAGATAAGCAAGAAAGTGTCTTATTTAATTTGAAATCCAATACTTATGCAAATAACTATGTCATTATTTATTGGCAATTCAGCAATTGCTGATGAATATGTAAGTATAGTCTTTTTCATATTTGTACCTGCCAGAATGGTTTTAGCTGCAGCTTCTTCAGGAGTGGCGGTGTAGTGCTGATTTTTGTAAAGCACTTCTACAGAGTCACAGTCAGAAACTATATATCTGCATAAACCACATGTTCATATTATTATACAGACAAAATCTACAACAAACATGAACAACTAAACATAAGTAGAGGAGCAATTGGAGAAACATAACATACCCATTTAGTTTCCATTTCTCTCGGATAACCCCCTTAAGTAGGTCAGGATCCGCACATGATGGCTTTCCATTTATCTGGTTGTAAGAACACATAACACTAGCAACATTGCCGTCAACCACACAACTCTTAAATGGTGGTTGGAATGTGTCATACATGTCTTGTTCAGTCACCTAACAAAGTTAACAAGCAAAAGCAGATAAGGAAATGATTTCCCAAGTCCAAATACTTCGAAAATTTTCAATCAAATGTATGTTACCACAGCATTGAATGTTAAACGGTCAACGTCTTTCCAGTTATCAAGATCATATGCTGTGTAGTGTTTGCAACAAGCAGCAACCTTGAGCTTATTGGAGGCACTATCATCAGTTTGTTGTAGACCTTTGACATATCCTGTTGCATATCTGCTAGCTAATAAAGGGTCTTCCCCTGGTGTCTCTTGTCCTCTTCCCCATCTTGGGTCTCTAAATATGTTGATGTTTGGTGACCAATATGTCAAACCAGCCAACCCTACATTGTACATTGCTCTAGCTTCTGTTGAAACAACCTGCAAAGAAATCAACCAAAGTTAGCCATGCCATAAACACCATTGAATTACACTTTTTTCTAGAATAGGGTCTAGCCACAAAATCTTCATTCTGCAACAAAATAATGGTTTTCAACCAATCTACTTCTCTTAACAAAGAATAATGAATAGCTTCAACCTCATTTGCTGAGATGCATGTAAGTAACTAAATATCAAACTTTCTAATTCAGGAATAAAACAACTATTTTTTGTGTTTTCTATATTCACCTCCATCTATCTACTTCCCTAAATGGAATAATGGTTTTCCGAGAAATTAAAATACTACATACGACATACTACATCACTTCTTAGTTCATTGCACATGTTTCAACACCATTTTCCCCTAATAATGGTTCTAATGAAATTAATAAAAGATTGCATGACCACTTATGAATGCAAAAATAAATAAATTCATAAAGATATTCATTTTGGTCCCAGAGACATATTTGGTTTTATAAAATGTAAAATACAAAATACGGGTTAAATTGGTGTAGAATAATAAAGTGAAAAATGAAAAGAAATCTCACTCTTCCAATGGCTTCAAAGAGGGTTGTATTAAAGGAAGCTGCAGTGAGAATGGGCATAGGAAAACTGGTTGCACCTGAAATCAAGTCAGAAAATTTGGTAGCACCACGACCAACATTTGATACACCATGAAGTGCCTCTGACCACCACCCATATTTTGGAATCCCAAGCCTACTTATTTCAATAGCATTATCACCCAAGTTTCCTATTTTCTCTTCCAATGTTAGGCTACCCACAAGGTCAGCAACTCTATCCTTCACTGACAATGAAGTGTTACAGAATTTATATTCACCCAAAACAACGTTCTTTGAAACATCACAGGCAAATGGTATTTGCCCATCAACCTTCTCACATGTTAACAACAAACCAGTGAAAATTAAATATGAGAAACAGAGGAAAATGGACGAAACAGAGTTTACTCTGTTTCTAGTGGAAGACATTGTTATGAATGAGCTCTAAAAGTATACAAATAAATTCTAACACGAAACAAACATGGAAGAAACTACAAGTATCTCGTCTGAGAGTGTTATGTAAAGGTGTAATACTA